TGTTAGTGATGAAGGTCAGAGCAGCTGTCTGAAAACCTAAAATGTTGTCAAACCACACCGGTGGATTTGGATGGCAAACTTGCTTTTCCCTTGGTCTCTTCTCCTATCCCACATGAGCTGGGAAGGCACAGGTTTGACTGGAAAGAGTTAGTTTATTTTTTAGATACTTATCTGTTCTTATGCATAATCTTAATTTTCTTTCAAACACGGGCACAGAACTCCTTCTTGACTCAGTTATTATTGTATCTTTTAATAAGTTGTAGCTATTACTTCAGGGAAAGCAATGTGGTAGATGAGACAAATCTCATTTCCCCTCATGGGTCTTCTCCTCAGAGCTCACAAAGCTGTACCCTCGACTCAACGGTGTTTTCTTCACTTTGGTGTGGCTCTTCAGAAAACACTGATTTTTTTTTTTTTTTTTTTTTTTTTTTTTCCTGAATCCAAAGTATGGGTGTACAAACCCAGTTTTCTGCTCTCTCCTCTCACGGGAAGGAAGGAGGACAGGCTGGCAGCCCCCCTCCGGCGCTGCACCCTGGCCTCCACGCAGGGTGGGGGGGGAGCACACCTCGCCCCACGCACCACCGCGAAGGCGAGCGTGCAAAAGGCTGTCGAAGTGGGCGAGAGGAGGCAGAGACGGAACTAAGGTTGCCTTGGGGGTGGTCTTTGAACCCGGTAGGAAGAGATCAGCAGCCAAGGGGCAGCATGTAGCAGGATTCTGCAGCCAGAGAGGCTGAGAGAGAAATGCTGGTGCCCAGCAGCGCTTGTGCAGCGGGGTGGAAGAGGGCAGGGAGCCGCGGGCTGTGTGCATGAGCATGCCTAGGTATAACACGTATTTAGCACTGGAGCGAGTCCAAGTCCGTTATTAATTGCTTAGCAAGGGTGAATCAGAAGGATGAAAAAGGCAGCTGTTTGCTGCCAGGATATTGTAGCAATGCTTTTGAAAACTCGCTTTGATATCATGCTATGTAACCGTTTTGTAGTTGGTGGCACAAACATGCTTGGTGAAAGGGGAAGCTCTTTAAAGCAGTTACTTGAAAAACTGTGGCCTCTTCCCTAACTGAGAGGGCGATGGGCGGAGTGCTTGGATGGGGGTGCTGCTCACATCCATTTGTGCGTGTGAACAAGGGGTGGAAAAGCCCCGGGGAGCAGAGGAGTGAGAGGCCAGGGCTCGGCTTGGGCCCTGGGTTTGGGAAGAGAGGGGAGGAGGGAGGCAGCCTAGCCAGGTGATTTTGGGTAGCAGGAGGTTACCTGAAGGAACCGGCATCCTTTTCAGAGATCACCGACGCTGCTCCTTCTGGGACTACCGCTGTTTGGCTAAAGCCACAGCATCTGTCAGGGGCTGTGCCCACAGCAGCTCATGGTGTGGGGCCGGAGCTTGTTTGTGGGCATGGATTTCATCACAGCAGCGTGTGCCGGCGTACCGGTCGTGGTTCTCACTTCTTGGGGAGTTATCTCCATCGTCTGCAGTAGGAGACTATTTTTATCTGTGGTAAACAGCCTTAATTCCAGTGCCATGTGGTCTCTGATACAACCCATGCATAGGCCGACAAGCAGGGACCCACAATCCAGAGACCACCGTCTTGATCTTGATTCAAACGGCCACGGGAACTTGGTTTACAAAGCTTGTTTGATGTGCTTTTAGTAAGTCCTGGTGCCGAGGAGAGATTTTATTAAATCTAAGTGTGTTTAGACTTTCTGGCTGCTGAGTACCTCCTGCTCAAATATTTTGCTCTGCTCCCGTCCAGTGCGAAGTGATGAAACCTGGATGTCTGAGGCAAGGCTGCCAGCTTCTTGCCAAATGGGGTGATAGAAAGCAGTTCTCAGAAGTAACGCTAAGTGATAATTTAGCATTAGCAAGAAATCCCAAGTTGAACTGACTGGTTGGATACACATATTTCCAGCCAGAAGAGCTGTGCCTATAGAAAAGAGTGCAATATCAGGTATTTACACCATAATTTTCATGAGGACAAGCAGTTGTTTTAACCTTAATCTATCTGAGGCTTGGCCAATACATTTCCGAAAATCAAAATTTCATGTGGAACAAAACTAACGGTAGTATTGTTCACACTTTCTATTTGAAAATGTGAATGGGTGTACATTTTGAGTTCCTTACAACTTGCCTCCTTTTCTGAGCCCTTGGTATATAGTGGGGTTATAAGTTTTTTACTACATTTAGTCATTAAGTCTCTCTTTGAATGAATTACCAGATCCTGAGTTTTATTTTACCTTCCCTCTATACTTTCGGACTCCTTTTCTGAGGTACCTTTTGCAGCAAAGTTCAGTGCAAGATTTTCATTTGCTCTGGTAATCTTGCTGAGAAACTCAAAATTTAGAGCTGAGGTCAGGCTTCTCTGTAAGAAGCAATAGTTACTAGGATTTGGTCTGGCTTTTTGGATGTTGCTTCGGTTCTTGTGGTGGACAAGCTTTTTTCCTTTGAGGAAGGCAGGCAGGCAGAACAGAGGCAGCAAGGGACATTACAGGTGCAGGACGATGCCATGCTTGCCTCAATCCGTTGGAGTGTTTGAATGATGCTGCTCCACCAGTGAAAAGTCAGAAAATAGCATTTATGCTTTCTTAGCACAAAAGATGTTCTGGTGCTAATATGTTTCAACACTGACTTGAAGGCAGATTTTAAAAAAAGGAGTTTCCCTGGGAACAAGACCTTGTTTAACCTCGACAGAGGAGAATGGCAGGCTAAGGTCTCTGGTGCACAGTTTTGCCTTTACACTTTCTGCAGAAATGTACCCTGGACAGTTGTCAGGGTCTTACCATGATAGCAATATCTTTTCAGGTTTTGAGGAGTGCTTTGTACCACAAAGGATCCTTGGGATTGTACCAAGATGACACAGGCCAGAACGTAGCCCAACAAGATGAGTACGTGCACACTAGACTTTTCATTTTAAGGAGTTCATCCCCATGACATTTTGTTGTGGTTATGTAACTTTTCCTTTTGTTTTTTCTTTTCTTTCTCAATAAGGATAAGTTGCAAACCAAGCTCCAGATTGTAGTTACTTTATTTTCATCAACCAGCTAAAGTAAATGCTTACTGTTAGAAACATGCAGTTTAAATTAAACGCCCCAGGCAGTTCTTTTTTACTACACAGCAGTCAGCTATACAGGCAGCAAGGTTGTCCTATGTCCTGCTATAAGTGATTTGGTTTTACACTGCCTGGACCTATATGGACCCCTTTCTGGGTTCAGAAAATTGATAGCTCATGTATTGTATTGCTTCTTATATTTTTATTCCTGCTGTAGAAAGTTTCCATTAAAAGGCGATTTGCTCAAGAGGCCGGTTTGCCTTTCAACTTGAGTATTTACCTATGCATTTTGAAATCAGTAGTGGTTGGAGAAAAAACTCGAACAACGGATGTTTTTTAAAACATGTGAACAAGCAGATCTGAAAAAAAATGCATTTAATATGTTTTATGGTGATACGATTTTGGATCTATGTCTCCTATTCACCTCTATTCCAAGCATGAACCTGCAACAAAATTAAATAGCAGTCAACAAAGCTAATAATAATGATAAAGTTTCAAAATAAGTGCCATTGCTTGTGAAAAAGCAGTTTGAGTGAGTTGGATGAAATGGCAGTATAATTACATAGTAGCAAGTCAAAGTTTGATAGCATGGACCTTATCTTTGCATGGCATGCCACTTCCCCCCCAACCCCCAGGATGGCACGTTTCTTTATCAACACTTCATTTCTAGTTGTTCGTTTTTAAATAATCTTATCAAACCTTAAGTTTGTTTCTCCTAGTGGTTGTGAAAGGAAATTCTGACAGTAATTAAAACGCACAGAGCAAAACAGTTTAACCAAAATATCCCCAAAAGTAAAATTTTGGGTAGTTAAAGTGAACATTGTGAATTTCCAGCTCTGCAGGATTCTTTATTTTATTAATGCTTTTAGGACTAGCTTCATCTTTGCAGTGATAAAGGGTAACAGTGTACAAGACTCCTGTGTGAGGAGTGGCTGTGCCCTAACTGACCCGAAACTGAGAACTGCCTGTTACGTGCGTGTACATATGACACTAGCTTCACTGTTGCAATATTTTCCATTATTTGGAAGATTCAACAGAATGTAATGGCTCAAGCTTTAATGTATAAATTTTAAGTTACTAGTATAATTTTAAATAGTTCAGTAAAAATTGCTTCCTGCAGTAGTCAAGGTCTCTTATCTGATACCTGCTTCCTTCCCCTCCGGGGATGCTTCCTGTTTTCCATGTCGGTCCCCACATCCCCCCCATGTATTTCCATGTGCCTTTTCCTGTTGTCTTACGTTCTGCTGCAGCTGCTCCTCAGATGCCTCTCCAGCAAGAAAGGTTCCAAAGCCGAGCTGACTCCTACGCAGTGCCACAGAAACGCAATTTGGGGGCGCCCACCATCACCCCCTGAGCAAGGCGGCATGCTGCCGTGAAGTAGCCTGCGTACCATTAGCAGTGCACATCCTACTTTTGAAGCCCCTCTTGTGGCCTTCACCTCGTCCCCTGTGCTTTTTGTATTGTGCAAGTGGCACAAGAAAACCAACAGGAAAGTAAGATGAGTCAGGCCCGTGATAGTGTGTTGTTAAATCATGTCTTGCTTTCATGTATGATTCTCTCCCACAGCTCTTTCTATGGAAATAAAATGTGGAATGATAATTGGGAGAAAACTATTTAAGGAAGGATCCTACCTATTATATGTGGAATTGCATCTTTGAGGTTCCAGTAGGGTTTGTCTGTAAAATAGAAAGCCAGAGAGACTCAGTTTGTACAGGACTGACAAATACATCTTAGTTTGTGAGTGTTTCCAACCCTCCTTTCTACTGCTTTACAAGAGAAATATGACTGTATTTATTTTAGTTACCTACGTTCCAACAACAGCATAACTGAGGTAGAATATTACAAAATACTTTTTTTAAAAGGTGGAAGCGTGCATGAGACATGATTATGTGGCCATTATTTTCTTAGACATTTTTTATTGAGGAATACATTTTATTTCTCTTGCTTCTTCTCTTACTGCAGGGGATGGATGTGGGCACATGGTGACGTATCAAGACAGTGGTACCCTGGCATCCAAAAACTATCCTGGTACATACCCAAACTACACTCTTTGTGAAAAGAAAATCCAAGTGCCTCCAGGAAAACGCCTGATCTTAAAAATTGGAGACCTGGATATCGAATCACAGAAATGCGAATCCAGCTACCTTACCATCCAGAGCTCGTCAACATTGCATGGTATGCAAAAGATAAGGCAGCGGTCAGTGCATGAATGGGTAAAAGTGTGAGTAAAAGCTCAGCGAAGTGCCAGTAATGTCAGCTTTTGTCCTTTCCCCTCTCCTTTTAATGTTCAAGTGTGGTTCTGGCGAGGCTGGGGGTGCTGCCGTGCTGGACACTGGGGCCACAGGGGCTTGTGCCCGGCTCTGGCACGTCCACCCCAAGGGCTCTGCCCACAGACCTGCAGAGCTGTATTTTCACAGCTTTGGTACAGCAGGTACGTGGATCTACACCAGCCCTGTACCCGTCTCGCGTAGGGGAAGAGCTAGCCCACGAACTAGACGGAGACAAGATGAGACATTGGAGTCAGCGATCCTGCACGTCTCTATTTCCTAGGCAGTTCAGGGCTCCGAGAGGAGATAACCTTTATTATTGCTAGCTATTAGTCACTGATAACCTTTGCTAATGTACAGGCTTTAATACTTGCAGATATTAAATGCGTGCAGCCAGTGTGACCTCCTGTAAGAGATTTGCACAGGAAGATAAGCGAGTAATCTGCTATAGCTGTGCACTTAAAGCAATCATAACGACAACAGGATCCTCCCCAGAGAGAACCTGAGGCCTTCCTCAAATTGGTTTTCCCAGTTGTCGCTGAAACTTCTGATCTGCTCTTTCTAGAACAGTCAAACTGATTTTCAAGCCAGCGCACCCTTTTTCAGAAGTCCAGTTTAAATTCAGGGCTGCAAGGGGCTCTACAATGCAGGAATAAACTCACGAATCAACAGTTCATAAAATGTTCTCTGCTGAGGGCGGGGGGTAGCCCTTCAGGCAGCTGAAGCTGAATGTGCTGTACTGGACCTAACAAGCAGAATGGATTCAGTGGGAAAGGGTGATGAAGGGCCGAGTTAAGCAGAGCCTCTGCAGGTTTTCCAGATCACCCAGCTCATCCCTGGGCTCAGTAAAGTGTGTGGTTCTCCTAAGATGAGGACTCGCAAGGTAACTTAGTCGTAAGGAGGGATGATTGCCTTTCATTCATGAGCATGATAGGCGTATCACTCATCTGGTAAGATAAGATCAAGTGAGGTATTAAAGCCTTGCTCACAAACGAAGGTAAAGGTAATTATTGTTCTCACGGGGGAGGCATTACATTTTGAAACAGCCTTCGCTAAGAATGGGCAGTGACATGTTAATAACTAAGATTGCATAGAGCTTGATTTGAGGCATAAGGAACACCTCTGCTTCTGTGTGCTGGGATTTTTTTAATGTTGTTTACTTAATTTCAGAACTGTAAGTAATGAGTTGTGTCTACCTGAAGCAGTCTGTCTGACTTGGCAGTAAGAGATAGGTGTTTAGTATTGCATTATCATATATTTGGATAATTTTTATTGATGCTATCTTGACATTTCTATTCAAAGGCTTTTCTAGGAAACAAATATATATATCAATATATTGTTTTCTGAAGTGAAAAATGAAGCTTGGATGTTGATTGAAATTCTGGCTCCTTACACATCAGCCTGAAGACATCTTCACATAGTTCAGTCCTGCAGTTATTCAGCCTGTAAACACAGAATATCTGTGTATTATGCAATCAAATCCATATAATGAATTCCTCTAAAGTTATTCCCACACCCATTTTCAGATCTGATTGGTAACGTCTGATGCATGTGGACTATAATTTGCATTCTCGGTAACGAACTGCACAATTAGCAGATTTTGCTCATATCTGATTAAACAAGTTTTATAGTTTAGGCAGACATACCATCTGTAATGGTTTTTGTGGTCTGCAGCTTGCTGTAGACTTTCCCACTAGCATACCTACAGAGTCTCTGCTCTGCATTCAGGTAAATCCGTGCAGAACAACAGTGTGGAAATAGTGCTGTATGCATATATTCATAGTATCGCTTGTGTTTTAAAAGACACGGGAATTGATAGATGAGATTACAGCTTCTCTAAGTCAGTTGTTTCAAAAGTTTTGCTATAGCTCTGGATTTTAGTACGCGTTTATGTAAGTTCCTCTGTGAGTAAGCACTGCTAAATCCATTCAGTCTGTTAAGTGTCCTTTTAGGTAGCTGTTTCTGAGCCCAGGTCTCCTCTTCACAACCCTTCCCTCTTCACGAACGTCTGCAGGCAGGTCAATATCTTCCCTTTGGCCAAGAAGATACCGACCTTTGCCATCAAACTTCTTTCATAGTATGATGGAGAGTTGAAAAGGTTTTGCAGGCATTGACAACATCTGAGCAATCAAAAACTAATCTTTACATGTTTTCTGTATTTGACCTGGGTTTAAAAAAGAAAACCTAAAAAGCTAAGTATGAAAGCTGGCAGTGTGAATATTGCTCATGTTTCAAACTAGCCAAGCGCAGCCTTTGCTCTTTATTTAAGAGTTTTGCAATTATAAGACAAAAAGGTCCAAAGGGAAATATGTTTTAAATACCATGCTGATCTCTTCAGCTCTACAGAAAACAGCAGAGTGAATGTCAGTATGTGTACAAACCTCTGTTGAGAGTGTATGTGAAGCTTGGAAAACTGGTCAGAGGCAAAACACTAGATCATGCGTGTAAATATAAAATTAGTGTAAACAAGTCTTCAGATGACAGAGTATTGTTTTCCTTTCAGATTTCTCCCATGTGCTGTCTTTACATTTAACTGTGATTCATTCATCGTTATAACCTTCCGCTGGGATTCATGCAATACCTCAAGGACTAATTCAATTTGTGTTTGGGATATTTATGATCCATGCAGTAAGGGGAGACTTATATACAAATGAATGGATTAATTGTTTTATTGTTAGTCAGAACATTAATTCCTTTGATTTCTTTACTTTCGTAAGTCGGTGACTACAGATTAGAGCACTTACATGCAGGTTTTATTTAAGTTCAGGGCATTCTTCAAATTTTGTAGATGGATAGGAGAGTACTAGGAATTTAATTCCTTCCTAGAAAAGCATGTAGCACTGAGCCATATGCTGATCTACTGAAGCCTTCCTGCTCAACTGGGACACAAACATGACACTACAGTTCTCACTTTTGGTACTTCTCAGCTTTGATGGATCTGTGAAGGCAGCCGTTCCGTTTAGATTTCTCCAATATCGCAATCAAAAGATGGTCTTTAAATAATCTTAATGAAGCTCTAAAACTGGAGGCACAAAGTGGCCAAACACTATCTTGGGGTTATTACTCTGCAGACTATTTTCTTCAGTGTTCACTGGAGGAAAGAACCTGTAACAAGCTTTTTCTTTGAAACTGTTAGCTTTGTATCCAGACTTAGATGTGAAAATATTGTCAGTCAGCAAAAGCAGTCTAACACCAGTTTTGGTGAAACTGAGTCACCTCTGTCTGACAGACCTTTAAATATTAGCACAGCTTTGCACGTGTTGCCTCTAGGAGAAACAAATAGATGATCGTGTTCTGTTTCAAGGGCATAGCTTTGCACTGGATGAAAATATGGGGAGGGGTGGAGGGGGGGTGTGTGTTTGTCCGACAAAAGGAATCTGGAATAAAAATTAATATGAAGCATGATCTCATGGTGTAAACAAGGTGCAACCTTCACTGAAATGCTTTTCTTCTTGAGTTAATTGCATTATGTGAGCATATTCTAAAATACTGAGCTCTGAATAAGAGCTTCTGATTTTTAAATTAGTTAAAGGGCTATGGGGAAACAAGATTAACCATGTGGGCCCTTTAGTTCTCGAGAACAAAACTTACACTATTTATGAAGGTGTAACATAAATGTTTTAAGTCTGACAGGAACTGCTTTCAGTCAGCTTCTTTTCATGTCTTTACCAGATTTCTGTATCTCTTTTGGCCCTTTTTTCTTGCTTTTTCCCCCCTCTCTTTCCCCAACTAATGGCTTAGTATTTTTCTCCCTTAATTTTATGAGATGATCATCAGTCTTGACTGGAGAGATAGATTGAAGAAGAGATAAGTGCCTACTTACTTCTCCATTCACTTGCAGTCAGTAGGAGGTTGATGTGTTCCTCTGGGGTGGATGTCAGATCTGCTGAGTGACTAGTAATAATTTGGAGAGTTAGCGCAGTTAACTTGTTCTTGCATAATTTACAGCCAGTAACTAGTGTGAAATAGAGAAATTACTGAAAATGCTTTCTCTTCCCTGCACCCAGTCACTAAGGGTTGTTAGACAAACTGAGCATTTTCTGCCGCGTGAGTGTCCGATGGCTGCCAAGAAAGTGTGTGCACACGTGTGTGTGTGTGTGTGTGTGTGTGTGTGCACGGGTGTGCAGGAGAACCGTGTGCCTTTGGATGCCTCCTACCTGTCATTATGACTTTAGGGGATTCACTGAACCAGTCTTCCCTTATGTATTGTAATAAATGTCTTGCTTGAATAAAGGGTGTGTCCAGGTTTCGTTTTGCCCTTCAAAGGAAACCTGTTATTACAGTATTGTTTCTGGTATTTCAGGAAATCCAGGGAAATGCCCGGACAAGTTCTTGCTAAAGATCAAGTCAGGCAGTTTCTTAACAGTTAAAACTCTCCTAACAGTTCATTTTCACCTCAGTGGTTGCAGTATCCTGAGGTTTCAGCTTTGGAAAGATTTATGCAACAAAGAATGTCCGTTTGTTTTATTAAATGGACCCTTTTTCCCTCTAAGCTGCATAAAATGTATTGTCTATTTTTCTGTGGTTTTTTTCAACAGCTACAGTTCTTTGCTAACAATTCCTCACTGTTGCTGCGCTTCTGTCTTTGGGTTTGGCTAAAACCACAGCCATGTTAGAAGTGGAGGATCTCACCTGAGGTCAAGCAGACAAACCTACAGCCTGTGCAGGTGGCCCAGATCCTGCCTTTTTAAACCGTAATTACTCCTTCAGCCTGACTCTACTTGGATGCCTTTTTCTTTCCTTTATTGCTCCCTTTTGGAAACACTAACCGAAAGTTACATTTGCTTTTCCTAAAATGAGAAATGCTTACCACTCAGCCTGAGATCAGACTGTGTTGCACAGAGTTGAGTGTTGAATAACCGGGCTGTCTCATCCCGACTACTCTGTCAACTCGTATCTACTGCGTAT